CACAAATTAGTTAGTGACGTGGATTGTCAAAATTATGATGTGGATTTAATAATTAAAATTTGTATCAATAGTAACAAAATTAAACAAGGGTGTTTATTGTAATTTACTAGGAGTCTAAAAACATTCTAGTAATTTTTAGAAAATATATACTATTCTAGTCATATACAAGGTTTTGTGTATCATTCTAGTAATTTTCTCTATTTATTATAAGGCATTTGTTTTGGAGAAAATATTTGAGAATCATAGCATTTACAACACTAGAATATGTTGCCTACATTTATATTTTTGGTAACATATTTACAAATAAATGTGTATAACAGAAATATCTCAACTATTAATTACTTGACTTGTCAAGAAAATCTGTAATTTACGTTTTTATTTAGAATTTGAGAAAGATAACTTTTTTAATATAATATTTTAGAAAAAATGGAAAAGGTAAAACCAAATTATTTGAATAATTTACAAAAATATTAAAATAGAATTCACAACTTCTATTTATGTGTGATTTTTTTTTTAAATAGACATTTTTTTATAAAATCATATTCATTTTTTTCATTAATATATTGGCATCACTAATATATCACATCTTATATAATCAAAACAATTAACAACTTCACCTCTAAAACAGTGTTAATTTACTTTTTACGATATAAATTCTGTTGAAGAATCTAACCAAATCTTACAATAAAATTTAAATATTTTTATATAATAATGTATTAATTAATTCCCCAATTAGTAGTTAATTAAAAATTTATTATAAAATAACAAATAAAATTTTATGATATTTTCATAAAGTTTCTAATTATAGTATATATTATACTAAAATAAAATTACTATATAAATTATTTATTAATAATATATTAAATTAATTAATTATATTATTTTATTTTAAAAAATAAATTTCCATTATAAATATGATTCGCCATAAAAAGGGGTTTAACGTAAACCGTGTAAAACATTTACTAAAATAATAAGTCTAAATTATTTTAATATAATAATATATTTATTTATAAAATCCTCCTATATACTAAAAATATACATGCTAAATTATATATTTTAATCATAGCAAGGAAATATAAATGATGCTAAACAAATATCTATTCTATTGTATAACTAAATAATTTTTAAAAATATTTTGCATGCAAAATATATAAATTAAAAAATATATATTTTCAAGGGGGTTATCTATTTGATTATTTCAAATTATTAATTTATTCTACCAAATTTGAAAGTATATTATTATGTAATACAAATTTAAAACAAGCTAAAATGTATAAAAAATCTTTATATATTAATTATGTGAAATAAATAAAACAATAAAATTGTAGAATTACATTGTATATAGAATTAAAATCCAAATCATATATCTAAAATGTTTATGATCAAATTTATACACTTATAATATAGGCAGAAAAAAATGTTCGACAATAAAAAAATGTTAAAGTCTTTGCTAGATTTAGAAACGTACATATGTTTTTTTCTTAAGAAAAAAAATAAGTTTTTATAATTTTGAATTTTGAGAACAAGATAATTTAATTACTAATTAGTAATGTTCCATATGATATTGACATAATATATTGACCAATTTATAAGATGTTTATATTTTTTAATAGATAAGAAGATTTCTATATTATGTAACTCCCAATTTAAATTTATATTTTAATTACATTACATAAAGAACTTATTTTATAAAAATATACCTTAAAATGTAACATATTAAAAAATCAAAATTGATTTAATATTCAATTTTTATCTTCATTTCTATAAATATCTAATATTAAATTCTTAAAGATTATTGTATATGAATATTTTAAAATTATCATAAAAATAGAAAAAAATGACTAAACAATAATTATTTTCTTACTATAAATTGAAATTAGATCCATTTATTAGTTGTAATAATAGAAGAGGAAACATAAAACAATTTTCAAAATTTTGGAAATTTGCCTTATTAGTTTGTCAAATAATTAAACAAAAACCCAACAATATATATATATATATATATATATATATATATATATATATATATATATATATATATATATATATATATAAAAAAAAAAAATATAAAATATATATATATAAAAAAAAAAAATATATATATATATATATATATATATATATATATATATATATATATATATATATATATATATATATATATATATATATATATATATATATATATATATATACAAAAAGTGAAAACGAATATCCGCACGGTCGTGCTGGTCAAGCTCTAGTTTAACATTTATTAGAAAAAGGTGTATCTAAGCATATAAGACAGTGATAAATTACGAAAATTATTTCAGAAACACAAGATTGTTTTTATTAATTTTAAATTGTTATACAACAAAACTCAAATAAGAGGAGGCTATCAAATATTATGGGAAGCCATCCCATTGGAAGCAGTTGGGTTGGCCTCCATCACGTCTATCTCTACATGGTGCCGGCTCGTAGATGCTCCAAATACATTCACTGCAAACTCCAACTTTGCTTTTTGGATTATCATCTCTATCAGCTCTAAAAATATCGAATGTCGCTGTATTTCCAGGCCAAGCAAAACTGCAAGTATATACAGTTGTTTTGCGAAGGTTAACACGGAACCTGAAATCGAAACTATCTCCAGGACCGAGGGAAATTACTCCCTTGTCTTCTCCTTTGTTTTTGCAATGCACAATCAATGTTGCACGCGTCACAAGTTTGTTGATAATCACAACATGTTTTGCTGAGAAGGGCAATAGTCCTGCAGATGTTAATGGTATTGTGGCAATAATCATTAGAAATGAAATAGGCATGAAAATGAAATTGTGATTCCTTGAGGAAGCCATATTAGTTTTTTCTTTCTTGTGTTAAATTATTGTGGTTGAGACTATAGTATTTATAGATGAAAGGATATTTATTATAAGGCATTTGTTTTGGAGAAAATATTTGAGAATCATAGCAGTTACAACAATAGAATATGTTGCATTTATATTGTTTGGTAACATATTTACAAATAAATTTGTATAACAGAAATATCTCAACTATTAATACTTGGCTTGTCAAGAAAATCTGTATTTTTACGTTTTTAGTTAAAAATTTGAGAAAAGATGAAATTTTGTAATATAATATTTTTGAAAAAATGGAAAATGTAAAACCCAAATTATTTGAATAATTTCCAAAAATATCAGGTAAAATCAAAATATTTTGGCATACCTCTTATAAATATATTTCATACATTAAAGCAATAGGGTTAGAAGTGGGTTTTTGTTTAAAATTTTGAACTAAAAATTGTGAAAATAAATTTAGCCATGGAAGCTAGGTCCCTCTCCCCATTCATAAATAGATGTCTTTTCCATATCCTAATGTATCATAAAATCTGAAGAGAAACATATAAGGAGAGGTTTGTAGGCAAGGAAAGAGAACTCTTAACTCCAACTTAAAATTTTAGATCTTCCCTTTTCAAAACCGTTTATGAAGATTTCCACAACAATGAAGGAAAGCAATCCACTAATCTACCTTATACTTCTATTATGTGATTAGTTTAGATGTTAAAAATATTAGGTTTCATGTAAATAATGTTTATAAAACATCATATCCTACACCACACCACATGATTCTAACTTAAATAATTGGGAACATACATCCAATGTGTGACTAATCTTACCCTCTGAAGTAAACTATTTTTCTCATAAATTCTTAAACAGGAGTATATCTATTATTTTTTTCTCCTCAAAGTTTACAAAACTAATTTATCATTTGTAATCAAAGAAGTGCCGAGACATACTTAAACTCTTAATGAATAATTTTTGGATTAGCTAATGATGAGTACATTAATTATGAATTATGCTTAGAGGTTTCAACAAAACAACTAAGCATGATGTGGTCAGGAATTGGGTGACGGATCAATCTATTTCTTTTGGATGTTTAATTGAAACGAGTGTGAAGGAGAAAAAAGCAGGAAAGTTTTGGAAGATGTTTTTAAAGGATGGAATTCTATGTCGAATTATGAGTATAATCGATTGGAAAGGCTGTGGATAATATGGAGACTTACGGTTACGATGACTCCAGTCTACAAAATTGACCAAATTATAATTTGCTCGGTGTTGTTACCTGGGAGAAAAGATGAGTTATTTTGCTCTTTTATTTATGCTCATAACACAATGGAGGAGCGAAAGAGTTTATGGGAAGATATAAGGAGTCACTATGATGCTCCAATATTCAAGAATAAAATATGGATGTTAATAGGGGACTATAACCAATTTTTAGAAGGAGAAGAACACTCAGGTTTTGAAAATAGTCCAAGAATACCAGTGGGTATGAGGGATTTTCAAGACATTGCAATATATTGTAAGTTAACTGATATGGGATATCAAGGACCTCGGTTTACTTGGTGTAATAAAAGAGAGTAGGGTTTGATTTGCAAGAAGCTTGATAGAGTTTTGGTTAATTAGGAATGGATTCATTGCTCGCCAACATATTGTGTTTACAAGTTAGGAGGGTGTTCAGATCATCTGAGATGTAGAATTCAGATGGGTGTGGAGGAGAAGAAAAAGAAAAGGCCTTTCAAATTTACTAATGCAATAGCAAAAATGCCAGATTTCTTACCTCTCATAGAGGATCAGTGGAGGGATCATGAGGTTCTATATCACTCAACGTCATCGATGTTTCGTCTCACCAAGTGGCTGAAAAAGCTCTAAAGCAACCATTGAGAACTTTGAGTAAGGATAAATTGGGTGACTTGCCTAAAAGAGCGAGAGAAGCTTATCAAAATTTGTGTGAAAAACAAGGGAAGACTCTTGAGGATCCAACTGTTATTGCAATTCATGAAGAGACCACTGCTTATGAAAAATGGCAAAGGTTGGCGATGTCTTGTGATTTTCATTGAATTAATCAGTCGTTTCTTGCTTAATTTGGTACCTAGAATGGCACATAGACATCATTAGGTTGCATATCCATTTTCATTTGTCCTTATTAAGTGTTGGAGTACCTTAAGGAGCTTATGAGAGAGTTTGAAGTCATTTTGGTTCAAGAAAAGTTGAGAATGATCATCAAACACGCTCAAGTGTCATAACAGGCTAACCATAGCGACTTGCAAGGGACGCTGTAATCGAGACGAGCTCCAGAGCGACCAAACAGAGCGAGATGTGGGAGCCGCTCCACATCAAGCGTTTCTTGGAGCGGGTAGGCGCAGCGAGCATGGTACCCCTCTCTGGATAGAACACATTCACGAAGTAGACTACTCGAAGTGTCAGAGCGGGTATGTGGAAGCGACCCAACGCACCCACTGTATATCAAGCACGTCCTGGTGCGGGGTAGCGCAGCGACCAGACTGACCCGCTCCAGTGCCTTTCCTTAGTCGTTTTTCATGTTTTGTTGGGCATGTTCAGCTTGTTAACTGAGCCCTTTAGGGTTTTTTAAGAACCCTATAAATACATTTTAGACCCTAATGATGAGACTTATCTTATTCTTTTTCTAAAACAAGAACACATAGGTGAAAGTTTGCTACTTTAATATAATTTTCATCTTATCTCTTGTGTTCTTGAGTGATTATTTTCTTCCTAAACATGATTAAGCTTGGATCCATCATGGGTTTAAGAGTAATCATGTTTATTAGTGAGTAGATCCATCTTCGATTCATGGGTTAGGTTGATTAGGGTGATTAAGTGTAGATCTAAGGTGTTTAGTGTTAGATCTAAGTGTTTCCTTGCTAGTTGAGTGTGTTTAATGCTATTCTACACTTGATCACTCTAGGATTGATCATTAGTTATTTCCTGCTCACAAGGTGTATGTTGAAATGACTGAGTCAACTTAACTTAGCTCTAAGACTTCTTAGCCAATGACCTTTGTATCTAAGAAGTTTAGATATTTATTAAACATATTCTTAATGATTGCCTGAATTAATAAAACCAATGATCTTTGTGTTTGATTAGGTTAAACAAATGAGCCTTTGTCTAGACCTAGAACTTGCTTAGTTAAGTTGTTTAGGCTTAAGAATACACTTTGATTGTAAGTTTGCCACCTTTAGATTGAAACTTGATCACCAACTCAAATACCCAACCACATGGATTTTATTGTCTCTTACTGAAAGAAATCTTATTCCTTTGTTGCATTTAGTATTGTGCTTGAATCATATCACTTCACTAAATTGGTTGCATTTAGATTAAGCATTAACTTGTAATCTCTTTGCTTCAATATGACTTAGAATTTGGATTGGCAATCTCAAGCACTACTTTGATTTGAATTAGGATCTAAAATTCCTTATCAAATTTGGCGCCGTTGCCGGGAATCAAACCCGGACCATCCGCGTGACAGGCGGGAATACTTACCACTATACTACAAATATATCTACAATGCAAGAAGAAGATTTGGAAGAATATTTTTTAAAGAAGAAATCAAAATTTCATTGGCTAGAGGTGGGAGATGGCAATAATAAGTTTTTCCACAGTTCTGCAACAATTAGAGAAGTTAGAAATGCTATACATGAAATTCAGCGTGTGGATGGATCTATTGCAAAAACAGAGGAGAGATTAAAGATGAAGCTGGGAATTTTTTTCAAAGAGTTTATGGAGTTCCAACCTCATGACTTCGAAGGAGTTACTGTGGAGAGACTAAAAGAGTTATTGGGTTTCCAACGCAGTGTTGAGGATTGTGCCAAACTCGAAAGAGAAGTTTCTAAGAAAGAGATCAAGAAGGTTATTTTTAAGATGCCTGAGATAAGTCACCAGGGCCAGATGGTTATACAGCAGAGTTTTTTAAGGGGGCATGGGAGATTATCAGAGGAGACATTACGGTGGCCATTCAATCCTTCTTCATTAAAGGTTTTCTACCTAAGGGCCTTAACTCTACAATTCTGGCCCTCATACCAAAGAAGGACGAAGTAAAGATGATGAAAGACTATAGACCCATTTTTTGCTGCAATGTGCTCTATAAGGTAATATCTAAAATCATTGCTAATAGATTAAAAGGCATCCTCCCAAAGTATATTGCTCTGAATCAGTCTGAATTTATAAAGGGTTGTTTACTAATGGAAAATGTCTTGCTAGCAACTGAGTTAGTAATGGATTATCACAAGGATTCAATCTCTGCTTGTTGTGCTATGCAAATAGATATTTCTAAAGCTTTCGATTCTATGCAATGGACGTTTCTTCTAAACACATTGGAAGCACTGGGAATACCGGAGAAGTTCATCAAGTGGATCTCTATTTTTTAACCTCTGCATCCTTTTCTGTGCAAGTTAACAGTGAATTAGCAAAGTACTTCCAGAGTAAAAGAGGTCTAAGGCAGGGCTGTTCACTGTCTCCGTACTTGTTTGTTGTATGCATGAACTCCCTATCTAATATGATTGATGAAGCAGCAAAAAAGGGAGCAATTGGATATCATCTAAAATGTAAGAATATTGATCTTACTCATCTGTGTTTTGTTGACGATTTGATGATTTTTGCGGATGGAACTAAGAAATCTATAGTTAGGATCTTAACGTGTTTGAAGAGTTTGATAAGATGAGTGGATTGAAGATTAGTTTGGAGAAGTCAGTTCTGTTTACGGCTGGAAACACGGTTCAGAGGGAAGCTGAGATTTTAGAAGATTTTCAGTTTGCTACAGGAGACTTGCCGGTTTGTTATCTGGGACTCCCTCTCATGACGAAAAAACATGACCATAACAGATTATCTTCCACTGATAGAGAAGATCAGGAAGAAAAGGAGTTCTTGGAGGGGAAAATTTTATCTTATGCCGTAAGATTACAGCTAATAAATTCAGTGATAAGCTTGGCAAATTTCTGGATAGCTACATTTTGTCTCCCTAGTGGTTGTATTAACGATATAAAACGACTTTGCTCTGCATTTCT